AGTGTCCTTGTAGACCTCACCCAAGCAATTGAAGGCCTGAGGAGCAAAACAGACACTTCCTCAGGGAGACTTACCTAAGAAAAGAAGAATCCTGCCTCAGAGTCTGCAGCTTGCTGGCCTGGCCTGCAGATCCCAGAATGACGCACCCAGCCATGGTCCTGCAAGTCTGTTCCTTTACATACACTTCCCTCTGCTGAGAAGGAGCCTGGCTGACATCAGGAGAAAGCCTCCTGCTGACTCCACATTCCTCTGCTCAGTTACTACTTTCTAGAACAGAATATGGACCCGGAGATTATAAATAACATTTAAAATATGGTTCTCTACATTCTTATCCAAGACCTTGATCTTGTACATGGAAGCAGGGAGGGAGGACCCTGAGAGATGCTGGAGGAACTCTGAGACAGGCTTACTGGGGTAGAAGAGCTGGGCAAGAGACAGAAGCAGACGTAGTTCCACACAATGGTCTAGAATGCAGTATACACTTTAGACAGCATCCACAAGTGTGCTTTGAAGATTGGTCAGGCCTGGGGAGATGACTCAGTCAGTAAATTGAGTCCTGTGTAAGTGTGAAGACCAGCATGTAAAACCCAGGAGCAGCAGTGTGTGCCCATGATCCTAGCCCCAGAGAAGTGGAAACAAGGGGATTGATGGGGCTCTCTGGCCAGACAGTCTACCTGAATCAGGGAGCTCTGGATTTAGTGAGAGAGCCTGTCTCAAAATAAGTAAGGTAGAGAACAGTTGAAGAGAATACCCTCTGGCCTACACATACGTAAATGCCTGAATGTATACCCAGACACACATGTGCACCTCCATACACATGAGCACATTCGCATGTGTGCACTCAGGTGCACACATGCGCGTGCACACACACACACACACACACACACACACACACACACACACACACACACACACACACACACACACACACACGCGCGGGTGGGATGTGGGATTGGCCTGGGCCAGGCAGAAGTAGAGTGGAGGCCAATCACAAGCAGGGTTCCCTACAGCCCACAAGGACTTCTGGCTGCCATTAGCTCGTCCTTCTATTTCATAGGCAAAGATGGTGATGTCAGAGAGCAACCAAGGGAAGAGACAAATGACCAAGTGCCCCCTCCACCAGGCACAGGTGCAGACCTCCATAAGACCAAGGGACTGCTCAGTTAAGAATGGAGAAGCTCAGGCTCAAAGGTGGGACCTCCTGAGGCCCTAGACCAGTGTGCATCTTCCTCTGTCGTCATTGCCCTCCTCTCCTCTCCCTCCTCCCTCCCTCTCTCCACCCATCTCATCCCCCCTTTTCTTCCTCCCCTATTTCTCCTCTTCCTTTTTCTCTCAGCCTTCCTTTTTGCGAATAGTTAGACTAGATGAAAAGCAAACAAAACAGTTAATGTGGACTGGAGAGACGGCTCAGCTGCTTGGAGCAGGTACAGCTTTTCCTGGGGACCCTAGTTCCATTCCTAATACCCAAGTCAGGCGGCTCACAACTGCCTGTAACTCCAGTGCCCGGGGGATCCAATGTTTCTGACTTCTTTAGGCACCCGCACTGATAGATGTGTACACACACACACACACACACACACACACACACACGCACGCACGCGCACGCGCACACACACGCACACGCACACACACACACAATTACATGCAAAACTAAATTAAAAAAAAAACAGCTTGTGTGTTTATCAGACTTATAACAACTCTTCCAACCAAGAGACAGGACAATCTCATCACCTGAAATATTCCTTGAAATCTCTTCCCCTCAACCCTTCCAAAGCAAGTGCCATTCTGATCCTGTCTCCATGGATTCCATTTGCTTTTGGCCTATCTTGAATTTCATATACATGGATGCACACTGGCCTTTTTCTTTTCTTCTTATTCATTCATTCATTTGTTCCTTCATTTTTTCATTCATTTTGCTTCCATTGTAAGACAGTGTGAGAATAGAAGTACACATGAGGAACGCCTGTGCTCAGGCTCTGCGGGCTGTGGGCACAGCTTTTCTGTACCCTCTTCCCCCTGTGGAGCTAGCGGCCATGTGTTCCCGTTGCCTGGAATTTCATTTCACAGCCCTTGGCACACTCGGGAAAACTGAAATCACTAGCGTGTCGTGCTACCTTCAACACCTGTGCCCCTCGGACAGACAGTTTGAGGCAATGCTAGGTGAGTTGGGCACACACTGTGTTCCCAGGAGAGCTCGCTCATCATGCCCATGCTTGGCGCATGTGTTGAACCAGGGGCTGTAGGAGAAAGCATGCAGAGTCTGAAGGAGGGCTGTGCATGTGCAAGGGGCAAGAAGGGGCTGTGGGCCAGTGGTGAGGGCATGCAAGTGGGGAAGGAAAGGGGAAGTCGGGTGGAGCTGACAGCTAGTGGAGGTCAGGGTCCAAGGATGGCTTGGTGGAGATCGGCTGACTCCACGTCTTCTCTGTGTGAGCCCTTGAGCTCTTCACAGGAGTGTCCCGAGGAAAACATCTGCCGAGGCTTAGTTTTATAGACCCTGGAGCTCTGCACCAGTTAGCCATCCACTCCTCACAGAAACAACCACTGAAAGTTCAAGATCAAGGTGCCGGCAGCCCCGTCATCTGCAAAGTCCTGTTTTCTGGTGCAGGAGGCACTTTCTCCTTGTGTCTCTATGTGGTTGGAAGGAGCCTGTGGCTCTCTGGGATCTTATTTATTTATTTGAAGACAGGATATCATATATCCCAGGCTGGTTTCAAATTCTCTGTATAGTAGAGGGTGACCTTGAACTCCTGATCCTCCTGCCTCCGTCTCCCTAGTGCTGGGATTAAAGAGGCATGTTTAAACACCACACCTAGTTTTTGTTTTTATTTATTTTTAATTAATTAATTGTGTGTGTGTGAGAGAGAGAAAGGGATGGAGAGAACATGAGACTATGAAGGTCAGAGGAAAACTTGAAGAACTCAACTCTTTTCTTCCACCACATGGGCTCCAGAGATCCACTTAGGCTGTCAGGCTTTGAGGCAAGCACCTTTACCTGCTGAGCCATCTGTCAGCCCCATACTCAGTTTTATGCAGTGCTGAGGCTAGATCTCAGGATTTTGTGCATGCTAAGCAAGCACTCTACTGACTGAGCTACATCCTTTATCAAAGTGCTAAAGCCATGATTGAACGTCATGTCTTACGCATCTCGGGGGCCCACTCCCACACACACCTGCTATGTCTCCTCCAGAGCAAGGATACAGTGTGTGAGTTTGGGGGTGACAAACAGTCAGCCTGAATCAGGAAACTGTGTAGTTAGTTCAGGGCTCACAGGACAGGCCCCCTCTGTCTTCTGGTATTGCCATTGCAAGTCACCACCACCAAAGGCAGGGATTCTACACTCAATTCAATGCAAGGTGCACCAAGGACAGGAGGGACATGATTCAAAACCACCACAGGTAGGTAAGAGTGTACAAGGCTCCAGGTTCAATTCTTAATGCCACAGAAATAAAATGATCACAGCACACATCCATCTGTGCAGTGAGTATCTGTAGTTCAGTGAGGGCTGCCTCAGAGCCAGACACTGCTGAGTCCACATGGATAATCTGATATAAAAAAATTATGTTTTCATAGAAATGTAAAAGGGAACCCACACAAGCAAAAGTCCCAGGGCTGAGCTGGTGGTTGGGGGCCCTGTGTCCACATGCCTTCTAAAGCACCACCCTCCAGATGCTGAACCTTGCCTAGTCCTGATGGCATGCTCCCTCATTTGGCCTCTGAGCTACTCTGGACCCGCTGTTCTACCTCTGCAAACTGAAGTCTGAGCATGACTGGGACTGCTCCTGCATTCCTCCTCACGGATGCCAGGCTTGGCTTGTACACAGCCTCTGGACCCAGCACATTCCTGTGAGAAAAGAGGGTCCATGTGAGCCTCTTGTTCCTCTCCAAGGTGTGACATGAGCAGCCACCAGGTATGAGAACAGAGTTGTTTTTGTCCTCAGCCGGCCAGGAGTCACCTCCCCTCAGAAGCTAACAACAATGTCCCTTTAGAGCTGCATGCTGGAGGTGACCAGGTTCTCTGTTCTGAGGGATGTTCGGAGTGATAAAAATGGGAGAAGGGGTTGAATGTGGGGTACACAGCCCACCCATGGACTGCTGGATAGGAACACAGAGCTGGCACTCTGTGGGAATGGACATGGGAGGAGAACATTCCCAGGAACATGGGACACTAATCACCAATAATCCTGGCTCCTCATTTTGCAAATGGCACATTGGAGTCTGAAGACAGGAAAGGCTTTTCTGAGGTCACTCACGTGCATTATGAGCTATGCTGCTGCAGACCTGGCTTGATCTACTCCCAGGACCCTGCCCTGTGGTCAGCTGTCCTTCCATTCTGCAAGCTCGGCTCATGATGGTACAGAGCAGGGGCTGAAAGGGTGGGAACTATGTTTGGGGGCAAGAGGATAGGAGATAAACACTGGTCACACACAGGATACCTCTGCCGGGCCAGCATTCTAGATCTCATCTCATTCTAACATCCCCGAGGATGGGCAGATGCAGAGTGGGTCCTTGGGGTCCCTCACCTCCAGAACATGAGTCTGCCAGTGTGTGGTATGAGGCTGGAGTGAAGCTGAGAAGAAATAAGGCTGGAGGCCCAGTCGGGGCCAGACACCACCAGGTCCTAGCTCAAAATGCTTCACCTGGGGGATGACTTGAGCCTCAGGCTGTGTGGCATCCCTAGTGATATTAAGCAGAGAAACTTGAAGTCAGGCTTTGGAGGGAGAGGAGGAAGTAGGAGAAGCAGGCAGAAGGCTGGTCCAGTGGTCTAACAGAGACATGATGAGGGCTCAGCCAGACAGGTATAAATTATGAGGGCTCTCCACCCCTCAAGAGCTTGGAGAGCCAAAGTTGTTAGGACATCAGGACTCTAAAGACATTCTTTTCAAAGAAAACCAAGAGCCTTTCTCCCCAAGTCCCTTCATCATTTTAGGAGCAAAATTTGAACTTACTCATTTTAGGGCATGGGTGAGGTTTGCTGCTGGCAAAATGTTCACAGAAAACAACCAGCTAAGTGCAGCTGGGAGGCTGAGGTCAGCCTGCTCCGGACAGGCCAGGTTTCTGTGGTTCTGAGTGACCATCAGCTGACCTCAGACTTTCCAGCAGGCAAGCTGGCAGTCCAGCAGGCTACAGATTACAGACTGGGTGCTCCCCCTGGGATCTGTTCACAAAGGCCACACTCCAACCCAGGTAAGATTGGAGCCTCTTCCCAATTCTTGCTGCCTAGTTTGTGGGTTTGGAAGGGTACTGAAGGCTCCGGAGAGGAGGTGGCATTGTGTTGGTAAGGCTACCAAAAAGGGACACCCTATCCACCTCTGGGAGAGAATCATCAGCCACAGATGTCATGATTTGGAGTGTCTATTGGTGCAAGGCACAGGCTTGAAGTATTTCTGTACACTTAGATACTTTATCCTCATGAGGTCCTGGGAGTTCGGAGCCATTGGAAAGAAAGCCAGGCTGGCAGACTGGAAGCCATGCTACTGTACACGCAGGCTTCAGGCTCCAAGGGGCTGACTTGAGACCCTGTTCTGATGCTGGCAGTCCTGAGGTCTAAGGTAAGTCTGTCTTCTTCCCTGTCTCTGACCCTCAGTTTTCTCGTCTGTGGGGTCAGTTTGCAGAACTGCCTCACAGGACCTCTGGGGCAGAGGCATTTTGCCTGGAGGACCCTGCTACCATCAGGAGAATTTGTACCTGAGATTGAGAGACTGAGATCTTAGTTTTGAAGTGACAGATAAGGAGACACGGGAGGGCAAACCACATGTCTTTTGTGGTTTTTCTGGTTGGCTCTGCTTAGGGCGCTGCCTAGAATTTTACACACCCAGCTGGCATTTCCAGCTGCCACTCAGGGCCAGAAGGACCTTTCCTCCCCATTCCCAAGTGACGCAGCATCTGTACAATGACTGAAGGCCATCTGGACAGTATCCAGGTAGGCCTTTTGGAGACAGTTTTAGAGAGTGGGAGGGCAGTCCTAAGGAAGTCCGGGGTGTGGTCTGATTGGACCACAGAGACTAGCCCAACCACCTACTCTGTGATCTCAGGCAAGCTAGTTAACTAAACCTCTCCGAGCCTCATTCCTTCAGTCAGGGGAGATCTGTGGTGACTCAGACAGGCCCTTCCCTGCAGCTCTCTCTGAGTTTTATGAGAAGTGGGCAGGGAGACAGTGACAGGAAGTGTGAGCCCTTAAGTAGGTACCTGTGTGGTGGTGGTGGGGGAGCGGCAGTTAAGGGGAGATTAAAACTCATAGTCCTCTTCTATTCTATTGGGAACTCGGAAGAGCTTGGGTTTTTGTTTCAGAGGTTAATTGACTTTAAATTAAGATTTTGTTATAAGAGCATGGTGGAAATACTTCAGAAAACTCCAGTTTCCAGTGAAAACCCTCTTTCCCTGGAGGACTTGGTTGTTTTTCACAACCTCTCAGTGTGAGCTTCTGGAAGTATCTGAGAGTATGGAAGCACATGTGGGCAAGCAAGAGTTGGAATAGCTGGTTGTGGTGGCACATGCCAGTAGGATTTGCTGAAGGAGGCAGAGGCAGGAGGATCACAAGTTCGAGGCCAGCCTCTGCTACACATTTTAGCTGGGCGGTGGTGGTGCACACCTTTAACCCCAGCACTCAAGAGGCAGAGGCAGGCGGATCTCTGTGAGTTTGAGGCCAGCCTGGTCTACAGAATGAGTTCCAAGAGAGCTGGAGCTACACAGAGAAACCCTGTCTCGAAAAACCAAAAAATAAATAAAAATAAAAAAAGGGTTGGAATAAGTGATAATAGCGGCTGCCTGCTGAATGGGTTACACTCTGTGCTCATTCCCTGAGCTATGGCCTCAGACATATCTCTAATCCAGGTGACCCCTGAAGGTATCTTGGAACTGCCAAGCATGAGAGGAGATGAGAGCAATAGTCCCTGGTACCTTCTCCCAGCATGCCCAGCTCCACACCACACGCTTGGAGTTCCTATCCTTCTAAACCTTCCTGTGACTGTTACATGTGGTTTTGGCTGTGGAAACCGGGGCTCACAGGAGCAAAGCTGGCTTTGGATGCTATTCTATGTTGTGATGGCCCCCACAGGACTCAGGAGCCTGAAGGACTGCTGAGTCCTGGTTTCTGGAGGCGTGCAGGCAAGATTATCCATAACTCATGCAGGAGGTGATGTGGAAATCACAGGCCAAAGAATCACCCAGCCTCTGCCCTTGGGACTCTCTGGCAGCAATCCTGAACTGTAATGTCAGCCCCTGCCCACACAGGTGGTGATATGGGTGGCCATGTAGGCACCTTTGACCTGGTGATCTTTAACTTGATGACTCAGCCTGGGAGCTGTGGCACCATGATGAGCCACACTCTGATCTTTCTTTTCTCTTTTTGTAGATTGAAATTAATTGGGGCATGGTAGGGCACGTGTGTGATCCCAGCACTTAAGAGGTAGAGGCAGGAGGATCACTGTGAGTTCAATAGTAGCCTGGGCTATGTATTGAGACTCATTTGTTGTTGTTTAAATTGAGGTAAAATCCACACCACAGATATTTAGCTATCTAAAGTGTCAGTTCTGTGACATTTATCCACCTACAACATTGTGTAATTGTCACCTTTATGTACTTCTAAAAAGTGTCCCTCTCTCCAAAGGAGACCTCACACCTATTTATTTATTTTTATTTTCCAAGTGCTGGGGATGGAACCCAGACACGCCTGGCAAGCACTCTACAGGTAAGCCCCCACCCCAGCTAGAACTCCATGCCTACCACACGGCCACCCGATTCTCCCCTCTGTCCACCCCTATGTAGATGTAATTCTAAACGGTCTTATTAAATAAAAAACACAGAGCCAAATAAAGAGTTAAAAGCCCAGAGATGGAGCAGTAGCCAAGAGCTAAGGCCACCTTATCTTACCACTTGCTGCCATCCTTCCCCTGAGAGAGAGAGACCTTCTTCCTGTGTCCTGTCTTTTTATTGACTTTCTGTTCTGTCTTCTCATTGGTTCTAAACCCAACCACATGTCTTCCTCGTCACTGCCTGTCTATACAGACCTCCAGGTCTCTGTGGTTCGTACTGAGATTAAAGGTTCGGGTGATCGCTTGGCTGTGTCCTTGAACACACAGAGATTCTGCCTGCCGTGTGATCTGTTTAAGGGCATGTGCCACCCCCGCCGGACTTCTGCTAAATGGCAACTTTATTTATTAACATACAAATAAAATCACATTTCAGCACAAATAAAATATCACCATATCCCTACTCACTGCTGAGCGTCCCCATCCCTACTGGGTTCCTAAAGGAGTCACACGGTGCAGTGTTCAGTCTCTGGTGGCTGGCATTTCTCATTGAACCTGTTTTGAAGGCCACCAGACTTCGTAGCAGGCACCTACACATTGCTTCTTTCCATGGCTACTGAGATCCCACTCAGGTCCTCTGCCTTTCCCATCCACTGCTGTTGGGGGAACAACACGCTGACCTTTCTCACTGCCCTCTGGTAAAAGTCTCTCCACATCGGCCACCCGAGGCTTACAATATAAAGTCTTTATCTAATGTGTGGTTCTCATCCTTGTGTCCATGAGGTGTTGACTGTACAAGGTAGCATTTACTGAGCACTTACTGCATAGTGGTCTTAATGTTTTACCTATTTTCACTCACGTCTCTCTTTGTCCATTCCTAGTCCCTCCAGTAGCTGGAGTGGGCCTCACGTGATCCATTCCAGACAGGAAACAGGGTCAGCTGAGGAGTTATCTATCGAGGAGGACTTGAAGCCCGGCCAACCTGGGCCTGACTCATGTCACACACGCCCCTGGTCTACGCCCATGTCTGGATGTGTGCAGACTTCACCCTGGGCTGGGTACAGTGGAAACTTTCACTTTCTTTTCCCTGGAGCTTTGTCTGCTTCACCTTTCAGTCATTGGCTTGTTTTCACAATGACCCATCGGAAACAGAAAACATAACTCCAGAGTCAGAAGTGAAGTGAGAAATATGCCAGTGAGTTCCGTGAAAAGCTAGATTTTTAACCAGTTCATGTGGCAAGACCACCCAGAGGGCCGTCCACCACCAGGGGACAGGGCTCCTTCGCCTGACTGGAAGACTACGGGTTAAATTTGGTATAGTTTGGCTTTTCCATTTTTATTCTTCTTTGCTTGTTTTTTGTTTGTTTTGTTTTTGAGACAGGGTCTCACTGTGTAGCCCTAGCTGGCCTGCTATGTAGACCAAGCTGGCCTCAAATTTGCTACAATCCTCCTGCCTCTGCCCCTCCAGTGCTGGGTTTAGAGGCATGTACCATCATACCTTACCTCTACTTTCACTCCTAAGGTGAACAAGAACCTTCTGTACATTCATACCAGAAGTCTAACTTCCCAGCTCACACCCTTTACCTTGGGCCCGGCTGGCAGGTGAACCCGAACCCTATGCAAGTCAGGAACCCAGGGGCTCACACTGAAAACTGTCTGATGAGATAGTCCTTAGGATCTCTCTGACACAGCCGGGTGCCTCCCCTCCCCAGCCTACCCCAGCAACCCTCTGAGCCACAAGGAGAAAGTAAACCATGCCTGACGTAGCGTTAGCACAGAGTCTGCAGATGGAATCACATCAGGGCTTCCAACCTCAGGCCTCCAGCAGGCCACTGTGCACGGGCATCCCAGTCTGGACCCCACAGCTCTTCTGGTGCTGTCCACCTGCTCCCCCAGCTCTTTGCTTATGCTCCACCTTCTACCCAGAGCTCTGTCACCAGCCTCTGGGCACAATCAGCCGTGCGCAGGGGGACGAACAGTCCCAGGAGACAGCAGCAGGCACAGGGTGCTGGCCCTGGCTACAGTGTGGAAGGTGCTTCTGGGCCTTTGTTTGGGGTGGTCCTCACCACCACCACCCCCATGAGGCAGAATTGCCAACTTCCCTCATCTTGCCTGCTTTCCTCAGTTAAAAGGGGCCTGGCATGCAGCATTAGAAAATACTCAGGGGGTGGTTGCTGCTGCTATCCCTATGCTAAAATGGAGACCTCTGAGGCTCAGAGAGGTCAAGCGGCTTATCTAAGGGCATGCAGCCCCCGGGAGGCCTGACCTGCACAGTCATCCCCCATGCTAACCCTCCACACTCTGCTTCTGCTTCCCAGTGGGAGCCAATCCTCAAGGACATGCAGAGGGCTCCTTGTGAAGGAGCCATCTGTGCATGGTGAGTCGACCACGGCACCAGATGGCCGGTGTTCTAACCTGGGTCTGCCGTGTACTCTCAGTGTGATCTTGGGCACGTTTCCTGACCCCTCTGTGCCCATTTCCTCCTTCCTGGCACGACTACCAAGAGGAGGAAGTGAGCCATACCCCTCCGCAGCCCACCCGATACCTGCTGGCAAAATAAAACCAGGGTTTCTTGGGTCTCCACTGAGCCGCTGGAGAGAGCCAGCTGCCAATAGCCCATCTTGGTGGAGGCTGTGGCTTCTGGGGTGGCTGAGGGTAGTTGGTTATCCTCCTTAGTTTAGGAGTGGCTGTGGGACACTCTGGTTGGATCCATTCCCTCTGTTTTACAAACATCATGAGTTACAGCGCCCCTGTTACCACCTGCCCTTACTGAAAGTGACCCCCTTGTTGCTTAAATTTCTTCCCCAGGGGAAGCATAAAATCACATCTACCCTTCCTCCCTAGGTCCCAAAAAAAACCTAAGGCACAGTTCTGCCAGTGTTCACTCTAGGGAAGTAATGGATGTATTGGGCTTCCTTACGGAGCCTAGGTGGGGTTACTGTACGGTGTGGACACTCCTCCCCCAACCTGCTGCCCCTGAAAAGTGTTATTCAAATGAGATGAGTGCTTCTGCACAGCCCTGTAAATGAAGGCCTCACTCTAGTCACCCTGGCCTTTATGTACTCCCCCTCCCCCAAGGCCACAATGCCCAGTGAGAGGAAGCAAGCAGCTGGCTACTCAGGTGAGAACTTCAGCCTTGTGCTGCCCCTCCATGTCAGGGTGGACATGTCAAAGAGCTGAGATGACCTTCGGTGGTGTGGTGGGTGCAGCTGAACTCCCCAAAATGGCCATTGCTTGGCTCAGAGCGCAGTCACTCATGACGTCCCCTGACTGCGCAAAAGGTGGAAGCTGAACTCCTGGACAGGACTGAGGCTCTCTGGGTAGCTGGATTGTCAGAGAAGGGAAAGGGACAATTAAGCCTTCCGTGGAAATACAAGGCGGCACAGTGGGGGACTGCCTGGCTGGGGAGCCGCAGGGCTAGTTGCAGATCTGTCACTCAGCAGTGGGTGACAGGTGGATGAGAGAAAGTCTCCTCACGGTGGAGCACTAGCCGGGAGCAAAGGCAGGGAGAAGGGAGGCCAGAGGCTGCTGCATCTGACCCCACAGCTGCCTCACTTGGCAGGACACCCAGGGCTGAGCTGATCCCCCCCCCCCCCCCCGAGCCACAGCTGCCAGGAAAACCGGTCAGAGAGGGTGGACCCTGGCAGGATGACACCGGAGACCTCCTTGGTGGCTCCAGCAGGGTGGTGGGAGCAGGCTGGCTGCGCTGCACCATGTCCCTCCTGGAACTGTCACTCTGCCCTGAGGACCAGGCCACCCAACATGCTGGTAGGCCAGTCCCAGAACTACAGCATCTCTGGTGGGTGGCAGCCGCATCCCTGCTCAGCTGGCCTGACAAAGCACAAAGGAAGCAGGCCCGGCCTCATTCCCTCAGTGTGAGGTAGACTGGCTCTGAGGTTCTGGTTCCCAAGCGAGAGGAACTCCTGCCTCACTGAGTCCCTGGAAGCTGGATGGAGAACGTGCATTTCACCAGCTCAGGCGGAGAAGGTCTGCTGCCATCCCTATTACTAATCTATTGTCAGGGCCGCGGATGGAGGGTGACTGCTCAATTCAGGAGGAGGAGCCAGAGATTTGAATTCTCGGTTCTGATTCTAGTAGCTGGGAATCTGCGAAAAACCCTTTGTTGAACCTCAGTTTGCCCAACTGTAAATATTTTTTGGTTTTTTTTTTTTTTTTTTTGAGACAGGGTTTCTCTGTGTAGCTTTGCGCCTTTCCTGGATCTCACTCTGTACACCAGGCAGGCCTCGAACTCTCAGAGATCCGCCTGGCTCTGCCTCCCGAGTGCTGGGATTAAAGGCATGCACCACCAACACCAACACCACCCGTTCCCACCTGTAAATTTTTTGAGCTGGAGATTCTTTGAGGCCTAAGGTAGCCAGACCTGGGGTAAGGGGCACCCCAAAGGAGGTTAGGACCACATGAGGTTTTCTGGGCAGCCACAAGCAGCATCCTCAGAGATCAAGGCCAGGCCACCCCAGTCTCCCGAGGCCACCTTGCCTTGGCTGAAGCCCTGCTGTTTATGAGGTATCTTGCTGTCCATGAGGGATGTTGTGGCCTTGGGAGACACATGCCAGAGGAGACTGGTGACAAACACATTGAGTGAGTGCCCCCAAGATGGGCAGAGGGCAAACATGAGGGTCAGGGCTCAGGACCAGGGCTTCAGACAGAGCTATCATCCTAAGGAAGCAGCTGGCTTGATTCTGCCCCTCACACCACTGCCTACACACTCATTCTTCTCTGCTGCCTGCCACCCACACCCACCCCCGGGACCCCCAGGTCCAGCATAACAAGTATCATGGTGCCTATGAATGAGTGAATGCATGAGACAAGATGAAGAGACCCACATTATCCTGCCAGGCTCCAGATTGTTCTCAGTGGAAAAGCTTGACCGTGGCAAATGACATACTCCAGATTCTTTTGTGGTTTATTATTATTATTATTATTATTATTATTATTATTATTATTATTTTGTTTGTTTTGTTTTTTGAGACAGGGTTTCTCTGTGTAGTTTTGCGCCTTTCCTGGAACTCACTCTGTAGCCCAGGCGGGCCTCGAACT